TTTCGTCTAAGTTGTGAAGTCCCTGACAAGCCAACCCTCTGGCAAAACAAAATCCAAGTCCTCAACATTAATCTCAGCGGCGAGATACGCCTCAACGTGAACACCTCCCACCGATGCTATGACCGCTATGGAAGCCCTACAGATTCCTACACCAGCTTTTTGTTTGGTACCTTTCCCCTCTCTGATAAGAACACACTCACTGGAGTAGGTTGTGACTCTTACGCGTATCTCGAAGATTCCGGACTTCATGGCTGCAGTTCCAAGTGCCTTTTGACGGAAGATGTTAGAACGAAAGGGTGGAGAGGAGAGACACTGAGTAAAGCCGACAAGATGGAAAACGGGTCTTGTTCTGGTTATGGTTGTTGCCAGACCCGTGTCCCTGGAGGGCTCACTCACTTCAGACCATTGCCAAAAAACTTAAGGAACCACAGCTTTGTGTATAACTTCAATCCTTGTAACTATGCTTTTCTCGTCGAGGATGGATACTTCGACTTTTCTATCATGGATCTTGAGAACCTTCGAGGCGTTGTGGCATTCCCTGTGATGTTTGATTGGTTCATCAGGGACTTTTCATGCCACCAAGTCGGAAACAACAGTGTCTGCGGTCAGAACAGTGATTGTGTCGACTTTAGAAATGGACCTGGTTATACCTGCAAGTGTTCTGATGGCTATGCCGGGAATCCGTACCTTCCAAATGGTTGTCAAGGTACTGAATTGTTTTTGCTTCTTCCAGTTGATTTGATCATTACCTCTGATAGTGTTTTGTTCACGGAATCTATGTCGTTTCCTTGCCAGATATCGATGAGTGTGCAGAAGGTACGCATAACTGTTTAGGCCCGAGAATCTGTCACAACACCAACGGTAGCTTCCACTGCAAGTGCCCGAAAGGCCATGGCAGACATTCTATAGAGGGTTGCAGTAAGACCCATGAATGGACTGTATTTCTTCTTGGTATGTTTATCGACATTTTCTTTCGTGAAGTTAGTTTCTCCATCTTCTCTTATTCTTGGTATACGGTAATCTGACCATATACGTTTCTTTTGTCGGAAAAAATGGACTGTAAACCAGGAGCCACCATCGGATTCTTAGTGTTCCTGCTTGGTCTCTGCTACCTAAACCAGGAGCTAAGGCACCGGAAGGACATCAAAGTAAGAAGGAAATTCTTCGAGCAAAATGGCGGTATTATGTTGAGGCGACGACTTGTGGGAACACAGTCATCAAGTGGCGATATCAAGATCTTCACCGAGGAAGAAATCAAGAAAGCAACCAACGGTTATCACGAGAGCAGAATCCTGGGTGAAGGAGGCCAAGGAATGGTCTATAAAGGGATATTGCCTGATAACCGGGAAATCGCCATCAAGAAGGCTCGGATTGGAGACCTAAGCCAAGTCGAGCAGTTCATCAACGAGGTAATTGTTCTTTCACAAGTAAACCACAGGAACGTGGTGAAACTTTTAGGCTGCTGTCTTGAGACCGAAGTTCCTCTGCTAATCTACGAGTTTGTTACCAACGGTACCCTTTTTGATCAACTGCACGGCTCCAAGTTCGGGTTGATTCTACCGTGGGAAGACCGTCTGAGGATAGCCGTGGAAACGGCTGGAACTCTGTCGTATCTCCACTCGTCTGCTTCTGTTCCAGTCATTCACCGCGATATCAAGTCGGCTAACATTCTCTTGGACGATAAACTCTCGGCCAAAGTATCAGACTTTGGGGCTTCGAGGCTGATTCCAGCGGACAGAGAGCAATTAACAACGCTCGTGCAAGGCACTCTCGGCTATTTGGATCCCGAGTACTTCAAAACCAGCATTTTAAACGAGAAAAGCGACGTCTACAGCTTTGGAGTTGTGCTGATGGAACTGATTTCAGGCCTGAAGGCTCTGTCCTTTATCCGGCCGCTACACGAAAGGCATTTGGTATCTCACTTTGATTCAGCAATGATAAACAATCGGTTAGACGAAATTCTGGACTGACGAGTGGTGACGCCAGAGAATCGTCGGCAGCTCACGGAGGTGGCTTGGTTGGCGGTTAGGTGCACGAGAGTGAAAGGAGAGGAAAGGCCGAGGATGAAAGAAGTGGCTACGGAACTCGAGGGGATGATGGTTCCGGTTAAACACAAGGGGATCGATCGGTTTTCGCAGCAGGCTGAATACTCGCTCGGTGATCGAATCTCCCATGCCCAAGGCTGTGGTAACAGTGACAGCGGCATGGTTTCAAGTTATTACAGCATCTAAGATTTTTATAGCTTTGGTTCTTCTGTTGTCAGAAAACGATCTCATCAGCAGTGTGCTTTTGTAATAAATCTACCCATTTTACTTTTTGTTTAAGATTTTGCAGTCCAATACAATATACAAACGATTTCTGAATGCAACGCTTTTTTTTTTATTTGCTTGAACTAACCTGTTTATTTTTTTTTATAATTATGTATAATTAATTAGTAATGATATTTTTTTTTTGTGAAAACTGACCCAAAAATTTATGGGGCCTTGTTCAGGTTGCACTTGATAGACGGACCTGACAAGGAGAAACTTTTGTATTGGAAAAAAAAAACTGAAAAAAAAAACTGAAAGAACAAGAGGAGGAGACAATTAATTATATCGATTTGATTAGATCTTAATTAAAAAATGAAATATTTAGCTATGGAGATTCAGGGTCACGCCATGTACGTCCGTTGTAATCATATATCGTCGTATAAATTCAAATAGGGTTAATCCCATAAAAAAAAAACCCTAAATTTGTTAAAATATTTCATATAAAACTTTCAACCTATAGTCTTTTATAAAAAAAATTCTGAATTTGGCAAAAAAAAAATTACAAAAATTAAAAATTTATCATTTTCTTTTCTATAAAAACTTTGACTTGTTTAACCAAAAATATTGTTGATGTGGTATGTTGTATTACTGACATGGCGCTGATTATATCATCATTTTAAAAATTAAAATATTGGCATGTTGTTTCATTTCTTCGTTCTTATTTATTAAATTTTTTTTGCATAAAAATAGCAACAGGACGTATTCGCATGCAGAATATGGTGTTTGGACATTTCGTGACTGAATTAGCCATCGGATTACAAGGGGCCTGCGAGTCTGCGACAACTTCAGTTATCCAGAAACACATGGAAACGAGGCTTAAGACTAAATCATTTGAAAAAAAAAACCTGGATTTGAGTTATACCACACATTGAGAAACAACTTACCATTTGAGGAAACAGTTTGCCAGGGCAAAGTACGAAAGTACGAAAAGGACAAGATGAAACCCTGAACGAATAAGATCAAACTGATGCATCAAATAGATAACGAAGAAAAACTGTGAGGAGAAAAAGAAATGGATCAGTCTAAGCGCATTGGAAACCAGAAGGATTCTTCTTCCCACAGTGGTTGAGGACGAGACTCAACGAGATGTTATTCAACGAGATCGGAACGTTCAGGTTAATGCACAAAACGTTAGCCCTAAGGGCGGTGCAGAGAAGATCGACGAGATCCTTGATAAGGGCACAACAGCTGGACTGCGTGGCCTTCACAAGATTCAACGCATTGAGCCCAAGGGCGTCTGTAGGGCAAGTGTCCGAGTGGTGAGGCGTGGGTGGTGGGCACGGAACCGAAGTGGAACTCACCAATGTGGTGAAGAAGACGACATTGACAAGGATCACAAGAGCAACTTTGGAAGCCATTGATAAGTTAGAAAGAGTTTAATTTATAGATATTAATAAGAAGAACCCTAGACTTTTTGTGTAGATGTTATGTGGAACGTTGAGAAGAAAACATGGTGATGGTGTTAGGGTTTTTATAGATGGAGTAAGATGACTATGAATGTACATGTACATGTTCATGTGGGAGTTACTATTAGGGTATACTTATGTGTGTATGTGTGTGTGTGTATATATATATCTACAGAGAAAGAGCCAGAAGTGTGGGCTAATACGTACAAATTAATCAATGAGGGTTCTTTGGTGTTTTCTGTTGAATCAAACAAGTTGATGTTCCGGTCAAATACATATATAAAACAATTTTTTTTTATATCTTAACTGTATTTCGATTATAAAACTAATTAAATATTCTTATTTCAAAAAACGAATAAATTATATAAAAAAAATGAAAACCAAAACAAAGCAAAAATCTCTCGAATCAAACAAAGAGAGAGACAGTAGACTCGACGTGCAAAACCATTTTGATTAATAATAAAGTTAACACGACGAACATCATTGCGATTACTTTTTATATTATAAATTAAAACTTAATTTAAAGGAAAATTACCAAATAAATTGTTGTTTTGTATTTAGATATCCAAAGAAAACATATCCCACACAGGAAGAAAAGAAGCATAAATAATGATTAATTAACACCGATCATTTATTTCGATAAACAGATCCAGGCCAATATACTATGATCAAAGCATGTGGTTTTAGATCAGTAAAGAACAAAATCCAGCCTATGAAAAAAAAAAACAATATACAAACTCAACCACCGCATATAAATCTGACGACCAACCTTATTTTATTCGGCCTTTATTATTGTTATCTCTATATAAAACCATATCTTGATTTACGTGCTGCATGTAAATGAAACTCCATATCACGCAAGGTTGTAAGTAAGATCAAATTATGTAAATGAAACTCCATATCACGCCAGGTTGTAAGTAAGATCAAATTATGCCCCAATAATCCCGCATGAACTACCATCAAATTATTTACATTCGTTGTCATTTTAATATTTAAAAAAACCAAATGGATCTCCCACACCCCCCCCACCATCTATAAAACCCCTAACGCCACACATTCCATATAACATCTATACAAAATTTCTAGGGTTCTTATTAATATCTATATAAAACTCTTCCCAACTTATCAATGGCTTCCAAGGTTGCTCTTGTGATTCTTGTCCATGTCGTCTTCGCCACATTGGTGAGTTCCACTTCGGTTCCATGCCCACCACCACCCCACAAGAAATACCCTCCCACGCCACACCACAAGGCCACTTGCCCTAGAGACGCCCTCAAGCTTAAGGTGTGTGCTAATGTGTTGAATCTTGTGAAGGTCTCTCTGCCGCCGCAGTCCAGCTGTTGTGCCCTTATCAAGGATCTCGTGGATCTTGAAGCCGCCGCTTGTCTCTGCACCGCCCTTAGGGCTAATGTTTTGGGCATTAACCTGAACGTTCCGATCTCGTTGAGTCTTGTCCTCAACCACTGTGGCAAGAAGGTTCCTTCTGGTTTCCAATGTTCTTAGAGTGGTTGATTTGTCTCATATTTTATCTTGTCTTACTCTTTCGATTATTTATCGATTTCAAGTTTGTTTGTTTCTCGAATTATTTTGTCTTATTACATTGTTGTGCTCCGGTATTGCCATTTGTTTCCTCAAATAATAATAATAATAATAAGTGGTTCCTTATTTATTTATAGATTTTCAAAATATTACTGGATTTCCACCAAAATAGTAACACCATTGGAAGACCGTTGTATTGTATAAATTTTTAAAAAAATACGACGATAAACAATAATTGATATAAATTTTAAATCTAGTAGAAATTTGATATATTTCAATGATAAAAAGTACAACAATATGAAAAATAAGCATTTATTAAAAAAAAGTTTCAAATAGTTATTGTATTTATATTGGAGAAAAAAATTCAAAATATTTTTTCATTTAACATAAAGAATATCTATTTAGTTAAAAAAAAAAATTCGTAATTTCACTAGTTCTCCCATACATAAATTAAACACAAAATTCCACGGCACGTTCCTTTGAAAACTCATCATCATGCTGGAAAAATTTTGAAGATATTTTCTCAATAACTGGCGACGAATGATTTTCACATCATTTAATGAATTTTCCACGATTTGAAGATTCCTACTATGGAGCCTACATATAGAATTATCAACCCAACTCTCGCCATTACCAGAATAATATTATCAATGGCTAACGGTCCTCGAGTGACGTTCATCGTCTTGTTGTTCATCATCGCCCATCTATCATTTCTTTCTTGCGGTGCAAGTGATATCGGAGAACGATATTCAAGCTTCGATTCAAGATATGCGTCTCTCTTCGAGTCATTTAAGCCGAAGAATATTGTTTCGCAGGCGACAAAGCCGCTGCCTCAATCGCCGTCACCAATACCAAATTCCAACCCTCATGTATTGCGGGCTCCTCCCCACCGTGGCAATAATCCCTAGTCTCCAAATACTGCAGAAAAAGATTATCACAAATCTTGAGTATACGCTTGGTACTATTGGTCGAATTGGTTTCATATATATATACGTGTCTAATGTAACTTCTTGCTTGCCTATAAACTTTACTTATTATATTTTACGATGATAAAAACGTGTGATTCAGTGAATTTAAGTTAGCCTTCAGAAACCCTAGTTGCGATCACCAAAATGTTAGGATTTTGGATATATATATATATAGCTTGAAATCGTGGGTCAAACTTTGCGAGAAAGTATTATTGCATCTCCAAATATTAATAATTAAATTAATTTTGAATAATTTCTGCTTAGCTCAATATCGATATATAAGAAACAAAGCTTTAAACCTAAAATGTCCATTGTCGAAAGCTTTGAACCTCGTAAACTTCTTCATTATTTCCACGGATTTCAAGACATCCGTAACGAGTTATAGATCTGAACACAGCGACGACGGCTCGAAAAATAAAAATATTTTTAAACAATCTAACGAAATTTTCTTTAATTCTGTCGTTTACTTACTTAAAATAAATAGAAAAATAAAGAAATAGATGATGGTTGTGGTGGGGGTAGGGGTGGACGATCGTGCGGGTTCGGTTATTTCGGGTTCGGGTATTTCGGATTTGAAATATTCATATCCAATCGGATATATTTTTTTAATCGATTCGATTCGGGTTCGGTTTGGGTTATCCAAACAAAAAAACGATAAAAAAAATTCAAACAATTATCTTATAAAAATAACAAAAACAACATTAAAATACATGCATATTTCGTTTTTTATATAACATGGTTATAAAATAATATCATTATACTAATTTTTCTAATTAGATTTAAAATATATTACATATTAATTGATGGTATATTGATGGTATATAGATGGATAAACGGATATATTCGGTTACGGTTAATTCGAATTCGGTTTATTCGGTTTACGGTTATTTCGGATTTGGATATTTTGGGATTGAAATATTCACATCCAATCGGGTATATTGTTTTAATCGATTTGGTTCGGTTCGGATATTTATCGGTGGGATTCGGTTCTGTTATGTCGGGTTCGGGTATTTTGCCCGCGGGGGGATGGGACGATGGAAAATGGTCGATAGATGAATCGTTTGAAAGAAAATGACTAGAAAAATAAACATAAAAAAGACCAATAAAATGACAAATTTAAAAGCTAATTTGTAATGATCATATCTAATTTAGATTTGTGAATAAAAAATTATTGAAGATTTGTTATCGTTCAATATTTAGGATTGTAAGATAGGAATCAAATATAATTATATAAAATAATTTTATTTATTTAATATAGATAAACTAAATAAAAAATAACATATTTCTCACATATTTCTCAAACCGACGGTTGATATGATCAAACGAGCTGATGGAGACGGTCGATACGTTGCACTACCACCGACGGTGGACGCGGCTTTGAACGACCCGTTATGTATTCCTTTTTTTTCCTACTTAATTAAATTTTTTCTATACAACTATAAGAAAAAATATTACTTTTCTACTAACAATAATTACCCACACTCCCCTTCGGAGCCAGGTGGCAGAGGCCAGGGGGCAATTCCTTGAGGTGGGGGATCGATTCCTCCCGTCGCTCTCTTTTCCTCTGACCTGTTCGCCTGTCAGCTCAACCTAATGGGCTGATTTACATCTCACGCGTGTGTTGTGGGCTCGTGTGTCGTGGGCTTGAGGTTTGACCCGCAGGCGCCTAAGCCCAACTACGGTCCGAACGTTAGGCGCGCCTAGTGGCCAGGTCCGGCGGACAGAGATCCATGGGGACCGTTAGGCGCGGGTGGTGGCAAGTTCGTCTCCGTTTATAAGGGTAGGTAGTCACGGAGTTTCCCAATGTTATAAAAATAAAAAATAAAAAATAATTCCCCACACAATTTAATTACCTTGGAAAACTCGTTATCATGTTGCATTTTTTTCTTTGGAGGGGAAAAAACATGGAAAAAGGAAGAGGAATTCTGCTATCGATTAATTTGAAGACTCCTACCCTGCCGTTGCCCTAAAGCCTACATATAGAATTTTTCTATTAAAATTTTCTCCATCAACGTCTTCCATAAAACAAACAAATAGCCAATGGCGAATACCACTTTCCCTCGAGCGATGTTCATCGTCTTGTTGATTACCCATCTGTCCTTTCTTTCTTGCGACGCGGGAGGGCGAGATTCAAGCTTCGATTCGAGATATTCTGCGGTGTTCGAGTCGTTCAAGCCGAAGTTCGTGTCCAGGGCGACAAAGCCAGTGCCTGGACAGCAACCGCCGACCGCGAACCTCAACCGCGGCAAGACGGACCCGGTATCCCCGCCGCAGGAATATTAAACCCTAGTACAGTCTACTGAACAACAAAACTTCTGTTTCATTGTATCGATTTTTCCGATCTAAAAAAGAGATTTTAGCAGTCCCGGTTCAGATTTCAAATACGAAAGATGATTATTGAAGGAAACTAGAGGTTAAATAACTAAGTTAATAGTTTAATCCCCGTGGCTCATATATATGATACCTTAATTAAGGGTTCATCAATGAGATGAAGTGGCAAAGAATAAGAATAATAAACACTATTTCTATGACCACGAACGATTTTGGCATCGTTAGCTATTTATATAATTTCGTTCTCTTGTCATGACATCACTTGGAAGATTTCTCATCTAATGAAAACAGGATTGTTATATATTTGGTGTAAATTGTGTGTAGTTGACTTTTCATATACACAAGTTCTGAAACCAAAACTTTTCTCTCCGTCAATTCCCAATGGCTATTCATCTCCGGTGGTCGTTCATCGTCGTCATCATCATCTCCCTTTTCAATCTATTAATCGTTTCTTGCGTCGCAAGTAACGATGGAGGACGGAATTCGGACTCGGGTCGGAAATATTCTTCCATTTCCGGATCCTCAAAGCCGAAGGCAGTATCAAAGCAGCGTAAGCAACCAAGGCCACCACCAACACCGCAAAGGAACCCAGTCCGTGCTTTGGTAAAGCCGCCGCCTCCACCTCCCCCTTGTCCTCGGAGGTTCCTTCCACGGCGGTGCCCGTGAGCTATGAACCCATCGATCCACCAAAAATATGGTAATCACACACACACACACACATATATATATATATATGTATATTTGGAGTGATTTAGGTTTTATGGTGTGTTACGAATGAAATAAAACTAATGTTTTTTATTTTTTTATCGCATTGTTTGTGTGTTCCAATAATAAAGATTTGTAGAGCTAGTCATGTACACATGTGTGGCTTGGGACAGGACACTATATATCCAGGATAAAGGTTTAGTATTCAGACATAAATCATCAATTTGATGAAATTTCTCCAGCAAACACCCCAAAGAAATATTACGATATCATAAACCAAAACAAACCAAAATAGCCCCGGTTTAGGAATTAACCGGGTTTCCACCAAATCATTGACAAACTGGAAAAATGCTGCACCAGTTTTGACAACAGATGCCCTGTTATTTTTTTATTTATTCAGAATGTTTGAACCTTTACAGTCTCAGATCAAGAATTGATGGCTCTACAATCTCAACAAAAGAATTTCAAAGATATACATGACTAAAGAATCTGTATAAGGAGAACAAGAGACGAGCTGAACTGAACGCTGAACGCTGGACTTACACAAAAATTCCTTCGGTTCACAGCTCAATGCACAAAGATATTCGAATGGTTTCGTCTCGGCACAGCAGCTACGGGGCCTGCAGAAACCAACAGATAAGGACCCTATTCAAAATGGCAAAACAGGAACAATAAGGCAAAAGAAAATGTAGCCTTTTCGAGCTTTTTGCAACGATCAAAGTCGTGGCATATAAAAAAAATCTAAGGAAAACGCCATGGCAGGCTGAAATGTAACATCAAGGGCTTACCAAGAATACCGATATCCAGATTCCTTGGAATTGGTTGTCCACGGTCTCTGTTCGGTTTTGAATTCTTCAAACTGGCCAAACCTTCATACTCTGTCACCACCTCAGAAGCAAGACCAGCGAATATGTCACTCCACAATTTCCTCTGATCCGAAATCTTGGCAAATCTCATTGCCTCCATTTGTTTCCTAGAGTATGCTATCTTCGAAGGATTCCCATTCTTTTCGCCAAGAACACCAAATTCAGAAACTTGGACTGATATGTTATCCACTTTAGCAGCATTTCCCTTTCCCTTTCCTTTTCTTCTTGCCCCCTTCCCCTGCCTCCGATCAACTGTTACTTCTCCAATGTTCTGATTCTCAGTTCGAACGGTTTCCAATCTCTTAGGATGAGCATTTCCCTTCTTGTAGATCGGAAACACATCAACCACTGCTGTATCATCGATCACTTCGACCATCAATGATCTTCCAGCAAAAGCATGATCTTTTAGAATCATCCTTTCAACAGTCTCTTGCTGATTTTGGTAACAATTTCCATTCTTCAAGAAACTCGAGTCGCTCGTCACTGTGCCCGCATTAGCCTTCTCTCCAAAAGTCGTTCCAACTTCGATTTCAGCCTCCGAAATTCTCTGTGCCTCCTTTTCTTTGCGCTTCTCCTCAAGATTCAAACTTTCTTCTTCAAGATTGTGACCATCAAACGCTTGAATCTCAGACGAAGGAACATTGACCCCGTCGACGGATCTTGTGTTGTCACCATCAAAGTTATCGCTTTCTACAGAAAACCCAGAAGAAGCGATCAGAGTATCCGTCTCCTTCATCTTTCGCACTTCTTCACCAGAATTCTCCAGCTCAAGAACTTCAGAACCCATTACAGGTACAAAAACGTCTGCAAGACACGTTTCCGCCACTGTTGTCGCTTCCGTCGAAGAAATATTAGGTTCAACGGGAAAGCCAGAATCCGTTTCGTAGGAAGAAACGTCTCCAGAATCAGCAGAATGAATCGTTTCTAGATCTTCGTCTGAAGCAGGAGGAGAAAAAGAAAAGTTTTCTTTCTCGGGACCCATCTCCACGGTCGATTCTCCTTGTACAGGAGCAGAAGGAAGAACCCTTGATTCATCTGGAACATCAATTCTCTGCCTCGCGCATCGATCGGAAGCGGTACTCGTACCCATTTCAGAGAGAGAGAGAGAGAAGAACCCTTGTGAGAAGATTGAAAAAGATCGCTAAATCCTTGCGAGTGCAACACAATCTACTCGAAACCTTAAACGGATGAGCTTAACCGGGAAAGTATCAGGATACCTCACCCGGTTAACCGTACCGGAACAAGTTCGGTTTACATAACGAACTGAGGCTAAATTTGGAATTCTTCGACCCGGTAATCTTTGATGATTTTTTTTTTTTAATTGACATTGGCATCATATGACGTGATAAATAACACATAAAATTCTAATACAGGAATGCTTCTCCAAATTCTATTTATTTGGAAAACCGGAGAAAATAACACATAAAATTTTGCTGACGTGTCAGTAATCAATATGAACACCCCATATTTTCTTATGTACAAAATTGAACAACAAAATAAATAAAAAGTTAGGTACAATAAAAAAAAAAATCCATTCAAACTAAAATGAAATTAAAACTTTGTTACCGTTTTATGTGCTAATACTTTTTTTTGCTCTTATTTGTGATTTTATTGTTAATATTAAGATTTGGTATATTGAACCAAACAACCAAACGAGAGAATGTCTGCAAGTGAGATACCGGACGAGCTATGGAGGAAGATTCTTGATATAGGCGTGAAGACATCGATCTTCTCCTACAAAGATCTCTGTTGCATCTCCATATCCTGTCGCCGTCTCTGCCGATTGTCCACGGAAGATACTTTATGGCTTCATCTCCTGTCCTCTGATTTCTCCGAACTCAACGATGCTTCTTCTTCTTCCTCTTCGTCTTCCCCGGCCAAGTGGCTCTACAGGACCAGGTATGGTGTGCGACTGCGGTTTTGATTGCTCTAGTTACCATGAATTCGTGTTTCCAAGTGTTTGAATTCTACCAGCGGGTCAATCCCTTGGATAATTTCCGTGATTTTGTATGTTTGGTAGATGAACTATTAATTGAAGGGGTTTTTTTATGTGTCGTTATTTGAATTAATTGAATTACGGCATCTGGGTTTATCGGTGTTAAAGTTAGAGGTTTGGATTTAGGCATCTGGTTTTAGGGTTTTGGGTTAATGTTTGATCCTTTTTGGCATTTCTTGGCTGATTTGAATCGTAAAGCTTGCAAATTTGCTGAAAACGTTTCTCTGCATATTGATAGTGTGCGGGGTTCCCGATCGGTGCTATTGAACCGGCAAAACAGAGTGCCAATGTTTATGTATCACCTTGTCACCATGTGAATACAGATTCGAAGGCCATTTTGATTTTCACCAATAATATGAGCCCTTTGGTTGTTTGTTCCATCACAATTTTAGTGTTGAGGATCTACGACCTAAGGTTTGTTCCATTTGGAGAGGTCACTGATCCTGAGAGTGAGCTTAGAATTTAGAAAGAGACTATTCTTAGAGTGATGATTTCTGCTTTTATGTGTGACTAATCCTAGAGTAAACAAGCAAGTCTGGACAGATAATTCGTCTAAGTATTGATTACTAAAAAAGCATATAAATATATACAGGAATGGAAACAGATACATCATTTCCAGAGGCTGATGTTCATGCTGAACTAAATCCTGGTCACAACAAAAGTTTCCAAGTCGATCCTGTTTCATCAGAAATTGTTTCTAATAAGGTAAACTGTTATCATTTTAACTGTATTTAAGAATTTTTTGGGTGCATTCCTGCCCTTGTCCAGAGACAGGGGTGTAATGACAGATGATTAACCTAAGAATCATACAACTGAACTTGACACAAGAGTCTTCTGAATCAAGAGTGTCAGTGGCAGAACCCTTTCTTCATTCTTCGTGTCCCGTAACTATTGTTGAACTTATGATGTGGTAAAATGATTGCCTAGGGATAACAGTAATTGCCGAAACTTTACCTTATTGTTCAAGTTATATGTTTGTATCTCTCTTTTACATTGTTACATCCACTATGGTGGATAGATTTGAGAGGGAGAAGGAAAGGAAAGTAGCTGCATATAGGAGGGCTCTACTGAGGAAAGAGAGTGAAATTGCAGAATTGTACCGGAGGATCCGGGAAACAGAGACTCAATTATCCGAGGAGGTGCAAAGGTTACACGCAGCTACGGCCGAGTTTTCGAATTTGGAGAAGATCAGGTAAACCCTTTTGATGAGGGAGAACAATGGCTAGTCAGATTTTAGCGAGATTTGTAAACTGTTTATCTCAATGGACTTACCTGTCAGTTAAATTTCGGTTAATTCTTGGAGAATCTGACATTTAAGCAACACGATTGGACGATTCTTTCTTTTTCGAATTGAAACGGACAAATCGTTTATTTATTTCATGTATAACATTGTTATTCATCCGAATGATGTATTTTGTTTCTGTCCGTCCAGGCAAGCATCATTAGCTTTGAATGTCTGGCAGCCAGAGATAGTGCGTAGCAGACAGAGGCAGATAGTTGAGCAAAACCCTGTTCCTGTTAAGGGCCGACTCGATGCACTAGAGATGGAAATGAAGCTATGCAAAAATCAAATCATTGGTTTAAACAAATCACTTGTGAGTGTTTTAAAATCACTGCTTTTAGACCGTTTTAGACTTGCTGAATGCATAGAACCTCTTTTTGAAAACCTTTTTTGCCTTGTGATCACGCAGAAAAAGGTTAAACGTCGACTTGACACTGCGAAAGAGGAGCTAGAGTCAATGAAGTACCATCCTTTACGAGATTACAAATCGACGCCTAGTGGAGACCAAGAAAGAATGGTGAAGAGGAAGAAGCTAAAAACGTGCATTGATTGTAAGTTCATAGAACCTTTCTTCTCTTCCTTTCTCTTTAAGCAAAACACTAAATAGCTTTTGAACTAGTTTTTTGTTAGTACAAAACTTTAATCTGAAACTATAACTACAAGCTTTTCTCTCTTCTCACCTTTACTTCCCGGGATTGTGCAAAATTGCAGTTCCAGAGAAACCTAGGAAGACATTGTAGGATAGACAAGCTTTCGTCTGTCATAACATCAAAGATCAACTTTGCCGAAAGAGGTCCTGAAAACTCGAGTATACCTCAAAACCACGAGACGGGCTACGATCAGAATTATCATCGCCTGTGCCCACAAAAAGACGGGATATGATCAAACACGAGAGAACAATCTCGGTATCCATCCGCTTTTGTACCGTTACCGCTTGTATGTTAAATAGAGTTTCAGTTTGATCGATCTGCAGCTTCTTCGACCGGGTTACAAGAAGGTTCAAACCCTTTTTCCGAAGAAGAAAATGCGACTATACAGGTTCAGTTCGGATGCAGAAATTGTTCCGCCTTTAGGAACAGAGTACGAGTTTGCAAGGTTTGGTGTCTGGTTATATTTGTATGGTTAAGTTAGAGGAAGATTTGTATATTAACATAATAACAGACGTCTAGTTTCTAAAACCGGTTAGAGAATTGAACCGGTTCCATGTTCGGTTCATCCAATTTCGGTTTAGGGCTGGTAAAAAACTTGGTCTTTCACTCTTATAACCCTTAATTTGGCTTCTTAAGTTTTGAAACTCCCAAGGATTATTTTGATAATTAAACAAATCGTATTCTGAATTGAAATTATCATAATTATATTTGTAGTGCAAAAATAAGCAAATATTGGCTTGAACTTTTGGTCCAAGCATCTTGTCATTATGAAACCATGGCGTGGACTTATTTCAATAATAAGCCTGTCATTTAGCACGATAAAGCTCCTATATTTCTCTAAATTTCCAGTTAGGTTATAACTTTTTAAATGTTTTTTCAATTAAAATATGATTGTTGGTCAATTTATAAATTTTTTTCTACTATAAACATACATAATATAGATATGTAGCTTTACTAAAAAAAAATTAAGTTGTCATGGAACTAGTGATTTAAATACCGACCGACTATATTTATGATATATTTATAATTTGAATTCTATATTTTAGTATTTGTAAAAATTAAAACTATGTAGCTTTACGAACAAAAAAATAAATCAAAATTAAGTGCTTCAGAAAAATGTGGGGGAGATATTTTAAGTTGTCATTGGGCCTAAGGATGATGGAAGAAGGTAGGGGTGTGCATAATATCCGAAAAAACCGAACCGATCCGTTATTCGATTCATATCCGAACCGAAAATTCGGATATCCGGAATTCATGGATCGGATACGGATATTGGTTTTAAAGTATTTGTCGGATACGGATCGGATACGGATATCAAAATAGAATTATCCGATATATCCGATCCGATCCGTATTTTTTTAATGTATTAATAATATATGGATAATTTAGTAATTAACTTATATATGAGGGATAACTTTGTAAAAAATAAAAATATATTAGGGTTTATTTTGTTTCTTCCTTCTTTTCATCTTCTCTTTGTCCGCGCCTCCCTCCTTCTCTCTCTGCCCACACCATTTTTATTCGCTCCAAACTCATCACCATTTCTACAGGTTCCAAGCTCACAACCACCACCCTCCTCTCCAAACTCAACACCGTTTTTATTGGGTCCAAGCTCATCACCATTTTTGTTGGTTTCAGACACTTTCTGGTTATTACCAGCTTGGTATCTTGGTTTTCGTTGACGATTATACTTAGATTCATTCTTTTTTCACTTGTACATGAAAAATTTAATTTCGTTTTCGAGTTTTTACTTAAATTTGAATATAGTTTGTATTTGATAGATTATATATATTATTTGTTTTTATTTTTCTGTAATTTTATTTATCATTTTTGTTATTTTAACATTACGTACGGATATTTACAAATATCCGTGTTTTTACGGATCGGATACGAATAATAAAATTTGATATTTGTACGGATCGAATACGGATACGGATATCTAAAAAATCTCGGATATCCGATCCGTGCCCACCCTTAGAAGAAAGCATGAGACACAGAGAGACATCTATTTAATCAATACACGTTTGCTTCTTTAATTTTTTATTTTATATTTAAAGAACTACAATGCATGTCATTTGTATGTTGTTGTTATGTTGGATTGTAAAATTATAAAATCGGATATACATAGATGTATATTCACACAGTCTTGAATATTTAGGGTAAGTTGATATTTTATTTAAATTATTGAATTAAATATTTTATTAATATATAAACAATTATTTTCCAATATATTATAACGTGATAAAAAAAATCAAAATTAAAACATAAATATAACACAATATTTTTTACACATTTGTTTTGTACTGTTATTTTTTTGTTATAATTGAAGTTTTGACTTTGGCCTTGGTCGTTTTTGGTGGTTCTTCTTAATATCTGTTTCTTCATACTTTTTTCATGACACACATTTTATATTTGATATATTAGAATTCAAAATTCATCAAAGCACACAAAAATATTCTTCAAGAAGTTTTTTTTAACATTATGTTCATATAATATTTTAACAATTGTCTAAATTTTATTCTCCTGAAACTTGGTTGAAATAGTGATTTTACTCTTTTTTAAAAAGGCAAATAATATATTTTGTATCTTGATTTTGTTGGATTCTCAATTTTAATATCCTTAAAATTTTCGACATATTTTATTTTTTATACTGTTGAGTACCTTTTCTTTAAAGGATTGACCAATCAAATAACTTTATTTTAATCAACATTTTAGTGCGGGTAATCTGTTAATGAAAAAAAAAAGGTAATGAAACGCGTGAAGGTATATGTTTGGATAGTAAAAGACGTGAAAAATAATACGCTATTAAATGGCTACGTGAAAAATAATGCAAATGCAAAAAAGCTAGTATCCATTTTAAATATCAACTTTAATGAAGTCCTTCAATTAATTAATGTAGAAAAAAAGAGGAAGCTTGATGAATATTATTAATTTTAAGGAAAAGTTCAGAAAACAAATAAAATTGCCCAAAAAATTAACTAATATATGAATTTTTTGCTCTCGTATATTTATATATGAATTGTTCAAATTTTTATATATACATGAATTCATAAAGTTTTACTGAAAATCTACCTAAAAATAATGATATTAAAATATGCCAGATTTTCACTGAAGTTTCCAAAATATGAATATTTTAATCGTTGTTTAATTCTATAGATATATATTCATTGTGGTTTAATGTTAGCCAGAAGCTTTTGACAACTTGCATGTACTTTTTTGTAGGGTTTTCTCTAATATTAGAGTTATTAATAGTTAAAAGGTGGTATTATTTGTCTCTTACGGAAAGTGTTTAGTCGTTCCACCCGGTTAAGTTTCGTATAAACTTAACCAATTGTCAAATTCGGTAAAATTAACATTTGTATGTTAGCATGCGAGCATAAGTTAGTGCGAGTTATTATGTAAGAATTAAAACTAGAAGATTAATATGTGCAAGAAAACCGATTATTAAATCATAGTTTTAGTTTGTTTTCTAAACAAAATTTAAAAAAAAAACAAGATTGGGTGAAGAGAACAAAGTTTTTTTCTCAATCAAGATTCGAATCTTCATTTGAAAATAAGTATTCATATAGATTTTTTCAATCCTCTTGTAGATATAATCATATAAAAAATCGAGTAAACTTTCATATTAGAAAAAAAAATAAAACAAAATGATCAACGGTAGTACTGTCCAAATTAACAAAGGAGGAAATTATGTGGCATAACTATAAATATAAAAATAATATTATTTTTATATTTATACTCCAAACCCTAAAGCCAGCAGTGTATTATGTTATGGTGGTTTGCGAATAGTATTTAACGTTTTCACGTTTCGACGTTCTCGATATCTGAAAATGGTATTTTCATACAAATCTGTAACTTTTTATTTGGAATATTAAATGACTTTATATTTTATGATACTCTACTCTACTATGATGCTGTTTTTTTATCAACTATAACTAAAAAAATCTTTAAAAAATCATCTACTATATAATCATTTGTTTTGCATTACAAATTATATTATTTTATCTCATAAACGTACTTAAAATCGTGTTATTACATTATTTTACAATTTTTTTTCTTCCGCTATTCTATGGGGCACATAGTATGTGTTATGACATGCCGAACCAATATTTTGAATATATGGTTTAGGTTGATGATATTTTTTTTGGTAAATTATTATATTTTCTGACTTTAATATTATTTAACTAAATAGCGTGATAAGTAAAATATCAAATGTATCTAAATAAAGCTCATAAACAGTACATCATAGAGCACTAAACCAACATACTCATGTTCAAGAACTCCAAAATACCTAGAGGAAACATAGAGAGAGAAAGGGAAAGCGATGCTCAATAGGATCGGAAAAAGTTTGAAGGTAACGAAGGTTTTGGCGTTGATGATCATAAGAAGAATGTTGAGAACGTTGAAGGAGAGAAGCAAAGAAGGAAGGACAAAGATGGTAATGAACATCATGATCATGATCATGATGATGGTGACGATAATGATAATGATAATGACGATGACGATGATCATGCAGCTCCTCCATTGGCATTCATTGAGAAATGGCTTTTGGATGAAACGAGTGGAGGCCAGATGGAGGAGATGAACCAATTGATGGAACTCTCCAGTATGCTCTAATTAATGGTGATCTCTTAATTTCTTTTTTTTTTTTAAATCTAATTTTAAGTTTTTATTGGAAATAAATAAAAGAGAGAAATAGATCACTCAAATGGCATAATTTGTCATTTGATTTCTCTAAGCTAGGGTTTATAACTGAATAAATTATTAAATTGTAATTAATCTAGTACTTTGTGCTCTCTTTTTTATATTAGTGAGTAAACTTAAACTTTGGAGCTTAACCTAATCTTGGAATTTATTCATGTTTTATTTCATAGATCAGATTAAATTAATACTTCACACATTGTTATTTCTATAAAATTGAGCTAATTATTTGTCTAACCAAAATAGTTTAAATTAATGGAAAAAAAATAATATTCGTTAGAAATAATTATAGGATTACAATATGAATACATGGGTATGAATCACCTTCATAAACATACGCTGATTTCTGACTCTTAAAATATTCATATAAAAAAATATGTGGCTCTAAATTATAATTTCGAAAATTAAAAATTTTAAAAAATTAAAATTGGAAGAGGGACCACATCAAAAAAAAAAAAGAAAAAAAAAAGGAAGTGTGCATGAAGGAGAGGAACCCACGCAATTACCGGAGTGTCTCCTGAAATGGCTATTATCAAAGTCCTTTTCTTTCATTTAATTTCTTGGAAAAAAAATTAGCATTAATAATGAATCCAGCTTTCTCTTCTCTCTTTCTTTCTTCATACAAGGAATTTATTACACTACCCCTCATGGATTCTTTAAAATAATAAATATGTAAATTAGAAAAAAATAATAATGACTAAAAAATATCTGACAAAAAAAAAATTCAAACGAGTTTATAGACGACAGTGTCCGGTCTTGTAAAAGGGTTAAAAGAGAAGTTAATGCATGGCCTCGCGTGGACTTTTGACTTTAAGAAAACAGTTATTAAAAACATGTAAATTAGAAGAACGAAATCCTATTTTTTTTTAGAAAAATATATAGTGCGTTTTTATTTGTTTTTGTTAGTTTTTTAAGAAAAAAAGTAAGTTATGAATAAAAAAAATTATCTTTTTATGACAAATATATATAAAAAAAATGTATCTTTAGATTATATCATTAATCTATTTTTTTTACATTAATTCAAATTTTAAAACGATAAAGGTTTTTAAATAGATATAACTCATCAAGATTTATTTGGAAACTGATTCTTATAAATATAGACCGACACTTGGGTAAAAGAAAGTAAAAGACAAAATCGATTGGGAATTTGTAACGTACCAATTTTATTTCGACCTCGTTGTATCACACAACAATTCGCTACTCATATCGAAAACTTAGAAGATATATTTAACCTCAGAAATGTTAAACCCTAACAAGAATCATAAATGAAAAAGTGAAAAGGAAGAACAAAATGATTAAGAAGAGTAACTTTTTTATGCAGAAAAAAAAGGAAAGAATGTGAAAATGGGGGTTAGGTAGAAGATGTCATGAAATTCTTGCTGCCAAAACAAGTAAAAAAAAAAAAATTGCGTTGGCTTTGAAAACCCTCTCTTCTTCCTCTTTTGCAGGACACGTGATCTTCGTTTGACCTTTCGGTGCCATCAAATCTATGTCACGTGACCATGCCACCATGCAATTGTTTATTTATTTTTCTTTTGTTCTTACTATGTATCATACTCTTTTGTTTTATTTGATGTTTCAAATTTTTTTTGATGAATTATAAGTCAATAGTTGTTATAAGTATTCGTATAGAAAGGATTTTAATAGATAATTTAGAATTCTTGGTACGATAAGAAATTTCAAATTAATAAACACCATAATAATATATAAATTTTTATATTATGAATTTTATTTGGATTTTAGATAATATGAATTTTAAGCTAGTCTTTACATAGTTTTTTTTATCTTCTTTTCTGATTTAGTATTAGATAAAATTCATTATTTGTCTGTCAACATTGAAAACAAAGAAACACATATTCTACTTACGAATAATATTAAAATAAAGAAATATATTATAGGTAATTAGTTCTGAATCTGTACATTAATGTTAATCATCAAACAAAATAAAACACAGGAAATAAATATTTTTTGTATTTTATTTTTTTCTAAAAAAATTTGCAAAACTTTGGTCCAGATTGTTCACAGAAAATAGATTTGAACTTCATGCCAAATTTGTGTGAACTTTGGGCCCACATAACAAACATTGTTGGGCCTTACAGCCCACACTGAAAGCCCAAATACTCTTTTGTGCCCCCGTCTTTTTTTTGTTGACTTTGAATTTATCAAAAATCAAAACCCTAACCCAAAATATTATATATGTATATATACCTATATACATGTATGTATATATATGAATCTGTATATATTTATATGTATGTATGTATCTATATACATTATCTTCGAGATCGATGGCTGCGAAGAAAAACCCGGAAAAAAAAAAAAAAGAAAAAAAAAAGGAAGTGTGCATGAAGGAGAGGAACCCACGCAATTACCGAAGAGTGTCTCCTGAAATGGCTATTATCAAAGTCCTTTTCTTTCATTTAATTTCTTGGAAAAAAAATTAGCATTAATAATGAATCCAGCTTTCTCTTCTCTCTTTCTTTCTTCATACAAGGAATTTATTACACTACCCCTCATGGATTCTTTAAAATAATAAATATGTAAATTAGAAAAAAATAATAATGACTAAAAAATATCTGACAAAAAAAAAATAATTCAAACGAGTTTATAGACGACAGTGTCCGGTCTTGTAAAAGGGTTAAAAGAGAAGTTAATGCATGGCCTCGCGTGGACTTTTGAGTTTAAGAAAACAGTTATTAAAAACATGTAAATTAGAAGAACGAAATCCTATTTTTTTTAGAAAAATATATAGTGCGTTTTTATTTGTTTTTGTTAGTTTTTTAAGAAAAAAAGTAAGTTGTGAATAAAAAAAATTATCTTTTTATGACAAATATCTATTCCTTCTGAATTTAATAAATTGGTAGCAATTTAATGGATATTATTCTAGATTATAAATTTTAGTTTAAATTTTATTACATTTGATCCACTTGATTTCAACTTTAAAAGGGCATGGCCTCGCGTGGACTTTTGACTTTAAGAAAACAGTTATTAAAAACATGTAAATTAGAAGAACGAAATCCTATTTTTTTTTAGAAAAATATATAGTGCGTTTTTATTTGTTTTTGTTAGTTTTTTAAGAAAAAAAGTAAGTTATGAATAAAAAAAATTATCTTTTTATGACAAATATATATAAAAAAAATGTATCTTTAGATTATATCATTAATCTATTTTTTTTACATTAATTCAAATTTTAAAACGATAAAGGTTTTTAAATAGATATAACTCATCAAGATTTATTTGGAAACTGATTCTTATAAATATAGACCGACACTTGGGTAAAAGAAAGTAAAAGACAAAATCGATTGGGAATTTGTAACGTACCAATTTTATTTCGACCTCGTTGTATCACACAACAATTCGCTACTCATATCGAAAACTTAGAAGATATATTTAACCTCAGAAATGTTAAACCCTAACAAGAATCATAAATGAAAAAGTGAAAAGGAAGAACAAAATGATTAAGAAGAGTAACTTTTTTATGCAGAAAAAAAAGGAAAGAATGTGAAAATGGGGGTTAGGTAGAAGATGTCATGAAATTCTTGCTGCCAAAACAAGTAAAAAAAAAAAAATTGCGTTGGCTTTGAAAACCCTCTCTTCTTCCTCTTTTGCAGGACACGTGATCTTCGTTTGACCTTTCGGTGCCATCAAATCTATGTCACGTGACCATGCCACCATGCAATTGTTTATTTATTTTTCTTTTGTTCTTACTATGTATCATACTCTTTTGTTTTATTTGATGTTTCAAATTTTTTTTGATGAATTATAAGTCAATAGTTGTTATAAGTATTCGTATAGAAAGGATTTTAATAGATAATTTAGAATTCTTGGTACGATAAGAAATTTCAAATTAATAAACACCATAATAATATATAAATTTTTATATTATGAATTTTATTTGGATTTTAGATAATATGAATTTTAAGCTAGTCTTTACATAGTTTTTTTTATCTTCTTTTCTGATTTAGTATTAGATAAAATTCATTATTTGTCTGTCAACATTGAAAACAAAGAAACACATATTCTACTTACGAATAATATTAAAATAAAGAAATATATTATAGGTAATTAGTTCTGAATCTGTACATTAATGTTAATCATCAAACAAAATAAAACACAGGAAATAAATATTTTTTGTATTTTATTTTTTTCTAAAAAAATTTGCAAAACTTTGGTCCAGATTGTTCACAGAAAATAGATTTGAACTTCATGCCAAATTTGTGTGAACTTTGGGCCCACATAACAAACATTGTTGGGCCTTACAGCCCACACTGAAAGCCCAAATACTCTTTTGTGCCCCCGTCTTTTTTTGTTGACTTTGAATTTATCAAATATCAAAACCCTAACCCAAAATATTATATATGTATATATATCTATATACATGTATGTATATATATGAATCTGTATATATTTATATGTATGTATGTATCTATATACAATATCTTCGAGATCGATGTGTATATGATTTACACTCGTTTATTGCTTACGATCATAATCTACTCTTTGGTGATATATGGAGAATCATATAACGTTACATTACACATATTATTTAAGACACATCGCTGCGGCTACATGTAAACTATCATGATCCCAATCATTCCAATTCCATTTTCGAATTTTATTATACGACAATGGATGGATTTCTAATGACTCGTTAGGATTCGATTTCTTATGGACATTATCTACATATATATATATATATAATATGTGATCTAAGAACAAGAAATATGCAGAGAACAATGTTTGTTCTCTGTTCAAAAGGACGACTTCGTATTCCCGCAAGAAGACGAAGAACGTAGAGACAAAACTCTCCGAGAAGAAAACAAAAAACAAAAATTCGTGAAAATGAAAAAGTCCTGCAACCGTTCTTTGGATATCTTGATTTGAACTCTTTTTTTTTTTTTGTCATATATTTTCTACAGTCTCATAAAAAAAAGTAATTCTTGCAAAAACAAATTACACGGGAATCTCCATTGACGCGATCGAATTAGCCGTTTTTATCACCTGGGTTTTAGCGGTGCGATTCGAAACCTGTTTCCGTTCTTGGTTTGAGCCCAACAATCTCACCTTTCCTGCGATTCCTCATCTGGGTATCGTTGTTTCCCCGTCAGGGTTCGTACTCTGTGGTTCTTTTCTATTTTTGGTGAGGTTTTGCTTCTGGATTTACTGATATTCGTCTGAATTTTTGTCCTTTTCAGCTGAATCCGTGCCTTTGTTCCTTTCTTGACGTGTTTACAGGTGCCGAAATTTACGGTTCATGTTGAATTCTAGAGAGAATTCAGAAATGGAAAAGAGATTTGAGAATAATTTCTGTATTGATTAATATGAAATGATCCATACAAAATGTATTTATACTAATCCTAACAACATACTCTAATAGTTCACCCTAATATCCTGTCTAGATCGGTACACACAGTTTCAGAGTTCATCGGATTTGGCGTTGAGATTGGTTATGGTTAAGGCATTGTTTGATTATTGCAGCTCTTTCTCCTCAGATTCATCGATTAGGTTTGAGGTATTGGGGTTCCTGAAGATCAGCTGCTACTGGCATTGATGTTCTTTGGGGATTGGCACTGCAAATGGTTGGGAAATTGTTGCTCTGCCTGTTCTTGGTTACGTCAATCATCTTTGTGCTTTCTTGGTCCTTTGTGTTGCATTCCACGGGCCAAATTCACTTCCTTGACTACCCTTTGTTGCACAATCCGATTTTCCCCGCTATGAATGATGTAAATTCTGGTGTTTCAACCCGAGGCAATGACGAGCATTACAACGACGAGGTGAAAGGCGAAAAGGATGGGAATTCGGTAGGGCAAGAGATAGGTAAATGTATGTGCGAGGTACCAGGGGAGGAGCCTCTTAAGGTTTACATGTACGACATGGACCCCGAGTTTCATTTCGGATTGTTAGACTGGAAACCTGAAGGGAATAGCAGCAAGAGTGTATGGCCAGATATCCGAAAGCATATCCCGCCTTATCCCGGGGGCTTGAACTTGCAACACAGCATTGAGTATTGGCTCACATTAGATCTCCTTGCATCAGAATTTCCCGATATCCCAAGAGCTAACGCTGCAAAACGGGTTCATAACTCTAGTGAAGCCGATGTCATCTTTGTGCCCTTCTTCTCCTCTCTGAGCTATAACCGGTTCTCGAATGTCAGTCCTCACCGAAAAACCAGCAGAAACAAGGAGTTGCAGGAAAAGCTGGTTAAGTTCTTGACAGTACAAGATGAGTGGAAGAGATCAGGTGGTAGAGATCATGTTGTTCTTGCTCATCATCCGAATAGCATGCTAGATGCCAGAAACAAGCTGTTTCCTGCAATGTTTATACTCTCGGATTTCGGAAGGTACCCTCCCACCATTGCAAACCTCGATAAAGATATCATCGCGCCTTACAAGCACGTCGTCAAGTCATATGAAACCGATGTATCTGATTTTGATACCCGAAAGATTTTGCTCTACTTTCAGGGCGCCATATACAGAAAAGATGTAAGCTTTCTACTTCATTCGCTCACCTTAATGTGTTTCGACATCGATCTGATAAAACCCTTGACACAGTTTTGTTCAACGTGTAATCTCAGGGTGGGTTTATCCGTCAAGAACTATTCTACCGTCTCCAAAACGAAAACGACGTGACCTTCTCGTTCGGGAGCGTGAAAAATGACGGTATAAACAAAGCTACTAAAGGAATGCACAATTCGAAGTTCTGCCTCAACATTGCCGGAGACACTCCTTCATCAAACCGCCTCTTTGATGCCATTGCTAGCCACTGTGTTCCTGTAATCATCAGCGATGACATCGAGCTTCCCTTCGAAGACGTCCTAGACTACTCCGAATTCTCGATTTTTATCCGAACCTCAGATGCATTGAAAGAGGGTTTCCTCATAAACTTTATCAGGGGAATACGCAAAGACGAGTGGACAAGAATGTGGAAGAGACTCAAAGAAGTCGACAAGTTCTATGAGTTCAATTTCCCGTCAAAGGAAGGCAATGCGGTTCAGATGATATGGCAAGCAGTTGCTCGCAAGGTTCCAACCGTTAAAACATCGGTTCACAAGTCTCGGAGGTATTATCAAACTGGTCTCGAGCCACAGAGAGAACTGAGTTCGTTACCGATACCCAGAAGTTTCTGGTGAAGAGAAAACCGGGTTTTTCTTTGTAGTTCTGCTGAAGAAAAAGTACAGATTTTCAGGTTTTGGGCTCTAGGAAGATCGAAACTTTTCGTGTAAAGAAGTTTTTGTAGGTTTCAGATTCTTGTGATCATTTTTTCATTAACAAGACAGGACCACAGTCTGATTTCTAACAAGACATCTGAAGCCGGAAGTTAACATTATTATAACATCCTCGGAGCAAACAATGACAAGATAGTGTTTGGTAAAACCATATTGCAAAGTCTACAATCCAAGTTCTCATTTCATCCACAGTATCTTATAACCGTCAGAGTTCAAAAGAAGCGAAAAGAAACATCATCTCTTGTTCTTGGATCATCATTAAAACTGGAACTGCATCTCTGGCGTGTACTTGAGAGCTTCGAGGTGAGCGGCCATGGCTTTGTTCATCGGAGGAGGGCCACACCTGAGAATCTGCCCACATAGAAGCACACAGAGAAATTAACGAGTTAACGTATCAAAAATGCTAAAGGACGAGGCTTTCTCAAGCATAAAATGGGTCGAAGAAGAGTTACTTGAATATCAGATGATGGTGCAGGACAATGGGCATCGATCATTTCCTTGGTCACAAATCCGACACCGCCTTTCCACGCTTCTGGAGGCTGCATTACACAAACAGATTAATCAAAATACTGCTGTCCTCTCAGTCATATGTGGGAACGGACACTCGAGAAGGGACTTGAATAGATGAATTTAAGGACACTCAAGAAGGGACATAGTTCCCATTGTATATAAGCATTAATAATCTAACTACTAAGTTTGTCTCGGATGACAATCTCTACGAAAGCCCTGAAAACGTTTTCCACTCGCCCGAGTGAAAACCAACAGTTACACTCTTTAGGACAATCTCAATGGGTAGCTGGCCCCACTCGGCTTGATCAGAGACAAGGATCCAGCAAAACAAAAGAAGCTTCCAAGTAAAGAACTGAGAAACGAACTAACCTGATTCAAAACATAAAACACTTTAAAGCGATTGGGGTATTTCGCAGCAAGACCGTCCAACTCTTCCTGAAAATTCATGCAGAAAACACTCGTATTTAGCATTACTACAGAAGCAGAGACTGAACGGCCACATCCTATAAGGTGTTTCTTAAATCTTTAATCAAGAAAGAAACATGGTGATGAAACAAAGAGGGCATAGTGTATCATGAATTACCTTTAATAGAATGTCATCGTATGTAACATTGGCATAAATAAGATGCACGTTTGTTGTATCTTTCGGGTTTTCAAGAATGGCTCGTGCAACCTAAACAAGAACACAGATGAATACTTCATTCAGTAATATATAGGATGGAGTGAAAGGCAAGAACTCAGGAACATGGGTAAGATCTACACTTCATGTCATTCAAAATATTGTAATAAAGAAGAAAAATCCGTAATGTGCACCTGATACATGGGGGTGATGCCTGAGCCACCAGCAAGCATCCCGAATGCTCTAGCTTGGCCAGGTTGATATCGGAACCGTCCCTGAGAAATGCAGAAGTAAAACAGTTTATGGCAGACAGAATAGCCACATTTCAGAAGGTTGAACTGACAGTGAAAATCCGGATAATTTACATTTAAACAAGATGGTTATAGCAGACTTCAGGATATGTTATGGATGAAGTCAAACTAAATCATTTCGTATTAAAAATTCTTTGTGAAGAGAAAAAAAAAATTTAGCAGACAAAGCTACTTGAGAAATACTCAGCCAGCAATCAACGCAAATGAAGAAGAACATACCTTTGGTCCCTTCACAGCAAGATAATCACCAACACGCATCTCCCGGAAATGATGAGACATCCTTCCTTGAGGGTACATCTACTCGGATAAAATGTGTCAAAGCCCATATAACAAAAGATGCAGCATAGAGATTTGCAAAACGAAAGATCGAGGGATAAGGGCACATATACCTTGATAACAAGCTCAAAGTAACCGACATCCGAGTCCAACGTTATCGGCGTGTATGGCTTGATGACCTCTTCCCCTTGTGCATCTTTACCCCTACGGACAATATTTCTTTTCAAACTTAGATCTTTGTTCAAATGAAGCAAAGGGCACAAATAAAGAAACAGGCTTCTAAATGTATTTTCATTCAAGAACCTCATATTCATAAGGACAATACGATGAAAAACCAAACCTGCAGCTTATGTGCTGTCCAATTGGTAGACCCAACACTGAAGTAGGAGTGGGGAGTTCAAATCTGAACTTTGCGACATTATAACTGAGCTGTTCACGTTTCACAAGTTTAAACTCCTTGAATTTCTCAGGATCCAAACAGCCTATGAAACCCAAAACCCACCAAATTCAACAATGTTATTAGAGAAAATAATGGTAAAACAACGTGAAGAAAACAAAGTTATATACACATTTAGATGCACAAAGAATCCAGATGTTCCGAAACTAGCATCACACTGTCACCAAAAACAGATTGAAATATGCAGTCTCCATACAATCTCAAGAGCCAACGGCTATAGAACACATCAAGCTTTCACACCAAACGAGAAATCCTCAAGAACTACATTAACAAAAACATTACATTATTGGGGACAAAATCAAATGTAATTCTCTAGTTTCAAACTGGATTTATTGACGATCCAAATGAATCCAAATGTCGAAATTTGTATCATCCAGTAACATTAATCTAATGGAATCCAAACCCAAAACAGGATTGAAATATGCAGTTTTCATAACTCATAATCTCTGGACTCTGGAGGCACCAGCTACAGAACCCTACAACAAGGAAGAACTCAGAACCGAAGATCTCTCACATGAAATGAGAAACATACAATGCATTGCATTACACTGGAAGGGCAAATCCAAAGAATTTAACCGATAAAAAGATCAAAATTTTGTTAAAAAATAAAACATTTAATGTAAATCTCTCCAGTTTGAACCAAAGTTCGGTGTCTATCCAAAACCAATCCAAAGGTTCAAAATTTGCATTACCCAGTAACCTTAATCTAACGCAACACAACCCAACACAGAATTCAAACACAGCTTCACATAATCTTTAGATCCAATAGCTACAAAAGCCAAAAACCCAGCAAAAACTCGAGAAGTCGAACTCTCACACAAAATGCCAAGGAAATCAAATTATACGGAATGTTCGAATCTAAATCACTCGAATAACAAAAATTATATCTTTTTTTAATTAAAAATCGAACCTTTTGGTCTCTTGGAGATGAACAAGAAAGCCGCAGCAGCAACGACAGCTACAAGAGCCACAGCAACACCCACGAGAATTTGAGTGTCCATTGTCTGTAAGAACTCCAAATCCACCATTGTTACGGCTGCGATGTTCAAATGTTCATACGAATTCCTGGGAAATTTTCTTTGTGAAGAACGAGAAACAGAAAGTTAGGTGAGTGGGTACTAGTTCTCTCGATGTTATGCTCCACTATTAATCTTGTTGGGAATTATCGAAATTAGATCTTTGGGTAGGTGGGAAGTTTTTCTTTTTCTTTTTTTTTTTCTTTTTTTCTTTTTTCTTTAGAAATTGTTGAAAAAATTTATATTATTGTTTATTAAATTTTGTATAAATTTTAGGGTTTGTTGGCTAATTGTCATGATATGTTTAGAAATCTATACCTTTTTTTTCTATCCTTTGAAAACTATACATTTTTATAAATTTTTGACAAGTATAATTTTAATATTATCATTTAGCGTCTCGAAAAATGTGCAGTATAAAAAACATATTTTTTTAGAAACTGTGTAATCCGGGAGAACTGTTTTTTCATCTGGGAGAGTCTGTTTTTATCTGGGAGAACTATTTTTTGTCCGTTACAGTGTGTTTTTTGTTCATGAAAGTGTTTTTTATCCGGGAGAACTGTTTTTCGTCTGTGAGAGTCTGTTTTTCGTCCGAGAGAGTCTGTTTTTTGTCCGGAGAATTTTTTTTTTATCCAGGAGAACTGTTTTTCTTCGGGAGAGTTTGTTTTTGTCCGGAAGAATTTTTTTTGTCCGGGATGATTGTTTTTTGTCTGGAAAAATTTGTTTTCCGTTCGGAAAATTTTGTTTTTTTGTCCGAAACCGAGAGAGTTGTTTTTCGTTCGGCAGTGTACGTTTTTTGTCCGGATGAAAAATAGTTCTCACATATAAAAAAAAATTATTTTTCATATAAAAAACATTTTTCCCCGATGAAAACAATTCTCTCAAAAAAATATTATTCTCCCGGACGAAAATAGACTTTTTCGGATAAAAAACAGTTCTTTCGGATAAAAAAAATCTTTCCCGAATGAAAAAACAATTCTTTCGGACGAGAAACAGTTCTTCTTGATGAAGAAAATTATTTTTTCGTATACAAAAACAGTTAAACCAAATAAAAATAGATTCTCACAGATGGAAAATAATTATCACGGATGAAAAAAACAGTTTTCCGAGATAACACAGTTTCTCAATAAAATATATTTTTTATGCTGTAATTTTTTTGAAATGTTTAATGACAATATTGAAATTATACAATAAAATAAAGTATTTTTGTCAATAAAATTATAAAAAGGTATAGTTTGCTATAAATTTATAACGAGTTGATATTTTTGGATCCCGGTTTGCAAATTTCCACGGGAGATATCATGCAAGTTGTCTGTGCGTGTTTTTGTGAATACGGTATCTAACTAGTGGTACCGAATTCAAACACGTGCAGAATATTGATGAACTTTGTCCGAATGTGATTTAATTCCGTGCAGTTTTCAGTTTAAATATATATATTGAGTACCCTTTTTGTCCTCTTCTGCTTTTTTCAACTGGTGAAATTAATTATTAGATTTTGTTTCAATATGTGGTATCCACGTTTATGTGGTCCGATTAGATCTACATGATTACCAACAATTAAAGCCAACTGTGCTTGCACGAAATAATATTATATATTACCAATATTAGTAATAACCAAGTTTTGAATTGTTGTATATATTTGTATTACCAATTTTTCATATTCTTTTAATACAAAAACTTACCTTTATGATCAATTTAATATTGAAACTATATATATATATATATATATATATATATATATTAATTCGACAAACTATTCCATTACAGAAATGAACGAACACAATAGCACGCTTGAGATTGGTATTTGACTTTCATGTTTAATAATATTTTTTCATCATTTTTTTGAATGAACCGTTCCCGAACCGAACCGTATGAATACCGAACCAAAATTCGAATATTCCACTAATATATGTATAAATATTATAGTTCGGTACTTATTTGGTATTCATATAATGGTACCGTTCCGAACCGAACCGATACTAAAACCGAACCGAACCGTTTAACATTCGGTTCTAGTTTGGTACACTTTTTATAAAACCGAAAATACCGTTCCCGAACCGAACCGCTTGAATACCGAACCGAAACCCGAAACGCCCACCCCTACCTTTTTTTCCTTCCTTTGCAAACTATAATTTTTTATAATTTTTTGACAAAAATACCCTTACTTTATTGTATAATTTCAATGTTGCCATTATTCAAAAAAATTACAACATAAAAAATATATTTTATTCAGAAACTGTGTTATCTCGGAAAACTGTTTTTTTCATCCGGACTAATTATTTTTTATCTGTGAGAATCTGTTTATATTTGGTTTAACTGTTTTTGTATACGAAAAAAATAATTATTTTATCAAGAAGAACTTTTTCTCATCCGAAAAAATTATTTTTTCATTCGGAAAAGACTTTTTTTTATCCGAAAAAAATGTTTTTTTTTTATCTAAAAAAGTCTATTTTCGTTTGGGAGAATACTTTTTTTTTTTAGAAAATTGTTTTCATAGGAGAAAAAATGTTTTTTATATAAAAAAACAATTTTTTTTATACGTGAGAATTATTTTTCATTCGGACCAAAAACGTACATTCCCGAACGAAAAACAACTCCCTCGAAAAAAACAGTTCTTCTAGACAAAAAAACAAATTTTTCCGAACGAAAAACATATTTTTCCGGACAAAAAACAATCCTCCCGGACAAAAAACAGTTCTCCCGGACAAAAAAAAGATTCTTCCGGATAAAAACAAACTCTCCCGAACAAAAAAAAATTTCTCCCGGACAAAAAACAGACTCTCCCGGACAAAAAACAGACTCTCCCGAACAAAAAACAGACTCTCTCGGACAAAAAACAGTTCTCCCGGACAAAAAATATACTCTCCCGGACGAAAAACAGTTCTCCCGGACGAAAAACAGTTCTTCCGGATGAAAAACAGTTCTCCCGGACGAAAAACAGTCTCTCCCGGATGAAAAACAGCTCTATCGGATTACACGGTTTCCAAAAAAATTTTATAAAAAGGTATAGTTTACAAAAATCATAACTATTTTGTCATATTTTACAAAACACCACATCTTTTTGTCACACTTAACTAATAACCCCTAAAATTAAATTAAAGCATTTTTCGGATGTGACGTTTGTCTGATATATTAAATATCTTAGAAATCGAATAATTCCCACATAAATTAATAGAGTTCAATGGTTTTGTAGAGCCAACAGATTTTGTATGCCACACGTGGATTTCCACGTCTCGGTAGGTTTGGCTTGAAATTTGTGGTTTAAATTTCGCATTTGGCAAATATAACTATAACATTTTAGTAATATCCGATAAATTCTACAACAATGAAATCAATTCGACCATCACAAAAATATTTTAAATCTTTTACTTTACATGGATGCATCTTATACAGTCTATAACTCTATTAGATACCATTATTTTAATCAAATACCATTTTAAAAAATAAATATTTATTCTATTAAAAATCGAATAAGATTTAAAATTGATATAAAAATTGAATAAATATATTTTTCAAAAACAAAAAAAAAATACAACCTAAAGTATACAACCTAATTATATGATTATTATCTATAACCTTTTTAGTGTGTAGGATGAAACACTAATAGTGTTACAATAAACGCAACCAAAAAAAAAATCAACAACTAAATACAAAACACAAACCTCAAGTTTCATCAACTTGCACCTTAGTCATTGTTCTTCAGAGATTTCAGAAGAGACCCTCTGAAGATTTCGCTGGTACTGCTGAGAAGTTAACCTCCTCTCCACTGGCGTTTTCCTCTTGCTCACCACATACCTGTTAACCCCTTTCATCATCGGCATTATGGACGGGAAATCTTCGTCCGGGATTTTACTATATTCCGATATGTATTTGATCTCGGCGACCCTCTTGAACCATCTTTCCGCCTTTGCCTCCTCTGACATATCCAACACATCTAGACTCTTTCCGCTCGTGTTCTGTAATGGCATTCCCACCATATCCGTCTCCTTGGTGGCAGCTTCATAGCGGGAGTAGCCATTGTTCCAAATTGAAGGTTGGTTTGTTTGAGGGCAGTAGGTATTCTGTGACGGGTTTCCGATGTTTCGTGTCCAAGCAAAACTCGAATTTGCTTGATGAGAATGCCCGGTACAGTTACTGCTGTATAGGAGATTATAAGAATATTGGCTCGGGTTTTCCCATGTGATGTTAGATACAACGTCGCCGGGTCGTTTGCACGCACACCTGAAGCACACTGTGTTTCCTCCATAATTGAAGAAAACACATCTTGAAAAAAAGGCAGAAAAAATTATATGCAATCTCTTAAGCCAATAACATATGATATATCTGCACTAGAAATATGTATAGATAAGGGAAAGAATGCTCACTGGGGACACACCCATTCGCCGTTTCTCTTTGGCCGTTCCTCCTCGCATTCCAGGCATATTACATTCTTTGCAAAGTTCATGAAGTTACACCTGTACAAGACAATGACATCATTACGAGAGAAAACGTGTTTCAACGCATGCCAGAATGTAGAACCAACTTTACTAGTTGAAAATGTAACAGAATTTGCAAGCCCGAAATGTGATCTCAATCCTACAAGTTCCTGAACAGAAGTGCTTAACATAGAGAGGAGAAGATGTAAGGTAGTAAAATAGACAAACCCCCATTTGTCTCTACCTTGGGCAGATCCAATCACCTTCCTTCATTTCAACCTTCTTCACAGAACTATGAGTTTCCTCATGTTCATCATGGTTCAGCTTTGCCAAACCGCTTAACAGGTTCTTCAACTCTTTCCATCTGGAGCAATGGGATTACTGATGTAACTCAGTATATATTTCATCAGGTCAACCATGGTTGCTTTATCAATATCCAACTCCTACAGGGCGACAGATTTGGGGGGTGAGACCATGTTCCCCTATAGTTCAAGTGTTGAGGATAATTCAAAGAAACATGTCAATGCACATCAAAGTTGTTAGAAATAGTTCCTATTACCCACAAATTGGTCAGAATAAAAGTTAAGCTATTCACAAAATATGCCACAAATTCATGAACTAGTAAGTTTTCTCATTGGCAATGACATAAGTCACTCAAGCTTCAAACAGCATCTCCTGATTCAGACAAAGAGCATAAAACAGTAACTACGCATTTATTCTTCAACATGCCATAAAATCAATGAACCGATAAGCTTTATCATTGGCTATGGATGTTAGCCAAAAAAATCCTAACATCTTCTCCTTATTCAGACAAAGACCGGAAACAGAAACTAAGCATTGGTTACAAACACAATATGTCCTGGAAGAAATGCAAACAACAGAGTGGAAATAGCAGCTTAAGAAAACAAGTCTAAATGAATCAAAAATTGACAACAGCTTTTGTTTCTAAGTCATGACATTGGCATTTAGCATTTATAAACTACAAAGCATCAAACTGTCCTGGATCTATCCATATAACCTATTATAAAGCTATTCAAAATCAAATTGAACATTTCATGGAACTTCCTCATAGACTTCCGTCTTAATCCTTGTATCTTTTTCTCAACTTTTTCGGTACTGTCTCCCTCTGTTAGCCCTCTTCCTTTTACCTTCTTCAAGTCTACTTTCTTCAACCACCACTCATCAAGTTTTACATGCCTATCTCTAAATGTTTGTGCACAACCATTTGTATTACCAGATAAGAATAAATAAACCAATTGAGCGCTCAGTGCAATACAGACAAATAAAATCACTTATCTAACGCTATCCTAAGCCAAAAATCAGAAAACCTCTAATGGCATATGTGAATAAGTTACCATGCTCAGAATCTTATTTCATCTAATCATAAGAAACGAATATCACAAGAACTCGCTACTAAACATTCATACAAACCAGAGCCCATATTATAACCCGGTAAAAGACCATCTATACGCAAGAGTAAAACCTACATTACTAGAACGAGATGTTATATAAGATCTCATCCTCCTCTCGGATTCATCTGCGTCCTTGAAGCAAAAGGGCCTCATATTTTGCACGAGCACTTCGATATCGCTCATTGGAAGCATTCTGTATATATAATCAG